GAGCTGAGTTGTTAGTGGTTGAGATATTTTGTTTTTTGTATTTTTCAAAGTGAGTGTAAACTCTTTGGGAGAGAACCAGACCTCTCGAAAGTCTGGAATATTCCATTTTATGTTTTGATTGCAATAAACAACCGACAATTGTTATCAGTTTACATCAAAATCCATACAAACAAAAAAAACATCTGGTGTTCACCGGTAAAAGTAGAAAGTATGTGTTAGGACTTGCAACAATTGCAGAATATTGGCATGTTCAATATAATATCTCACCTTTGAACTAAGTAACTTGTGGTGCTGGAAAGACATAACGAATTCAGCAACCTGAAAGAAACTAACAACATCGCTTGTTTCAATAGCATGGCGTTCTTTCTCAATATCCTCACGGATTGATTGCATCAACACTGTTGAAGGTACAGTCCATAGTGAAAATATGGCCAGCAATGTAATGACAACCAAATGAAGCACCAAAACCACAAACAAACAGATATTTCCATTTAAAATACAATAATTACCATTATAACCTCCTGACAGGAACTGATTAGTAAAATCATGGAGTAACCAAAGAATATTCTTGTTTGTTGTTGGCATTCTTCCGCTGTCCCAAAGCATCTTTTTGGATGAACCATGCTGGTTTTTATGACCTTTGAGTAATGTATCATGAGAATCTGAACAAGGATTTCCTTTAACTAAAACTTTGGAACCACCCTGTTCAAAAGGCCAATTGATGAAGTTAGGTGATGAAGATCTCAATAGATACAAAACAACATTAACCTTGTACCATAGTTAGCCGGGTGAAGGATCCACTGAACTGTGACCGAGAACCCACATTAAAGAGTATTGTTTGCCTCCTTTTTGCTTTTTCCTCTTCCATAAGAGACTTGAGATCAATGGCAGTAGCTTCTGCATCTCCCTCCACCTGATGAACAATGCAGTAAAGCTGCTATTTCATTTGGAAAACCAACAAAAAAGAAAGAGTGCATCTGCTAGCAAGCAATTATTGGCGACTGACTCATTGACTGCCATGAGAAAGAGAAGCTAAAAGATTTCCTAATAAAAAATTGCAACCCAGGTGCACCTAGTCACCTCGACTATGCAAGGGTTTCCAAAGGAAGTTTCGACCTTTCACTTGGATTTTGAGACGTGGCAGTTCCAGGAACACATGACCTCCTGGCCACAAAAGAATTGCTTATGATTGTTTTTTTGCCCCTTGAAACATTTCTCAATTAAAAGCATAAATACAATTGGACTAGGCCCCAAAACTACATTAATTAAGTAGTACTTAGATTTCTGATATTATTATTATTATTAGCAGTAGCTCTGCTCAACGCAGCATGGGATTCATAAATATCCGGTCTATAGGATTCCAAATATTGCATTGCACTACATTTGAGAAGGGCAAAAAAGAACAGGAGCACTTCTTCTCTTATTCCCCACTTATTCTGTCAATATTAATGAACTACCATGTAATGCTATGATAAAGAGAACAAGACTCCAGTGAACACAAAACACAGCGGGTTTGTGAGGATGCAACCTTTCCCTCGCATATTGCAAGAGTTTGCTTCCATAACTCAAAGCTATGACCTTTCGATCACAAGGAAGTAACCTTGTTAGTTACTCAGAAACTTGATCCTTGTGCAATAAAGTATTGACGGTGATTAAATGACAAAACACAAAAACAGCCACCTTTGTGGAGGCATCCAAATGAGCTCTTGCAATCAACTCTGGAACTTGACCCTTATATATGTAATAGAAGGTCTCCAATAAAAGCAAGTTATCCTGACGAAAAATGCCACATGAACCACCAACATGCTGTGTCAAAACTAAGATCAAGTCCATCACATTCTCCTCAAACAGAAGTTCTAAGAATCTATCTCTAATAAGGATAAATTCAGAGGCTGATCCAGCAACTCTCTGTTGCATTGAGACGTCTTGGACAGCTAAAATGTTGTGAAATAAGGTGACTACCAACTGCACCAACTTCCAGTCATCCTCTGTAAATAGATCCCTGCTTGAAGTATCAAAATTACCACAGACATAATTAGATAACCCAATATGGCCACAACAAAGCCAAAACAATATTAGTTAGTATTCACTAATCAGAAATATGAACTAAGAAAATGATTTTTGAGAAAGATGTTGATCCAAGCATACTTGAAGCATTGTCATCTTAAGAATATAACGGACAAATTTACCATCAATTTTGAACTATAATGTGTAAGAAGTTTATTACTGCAAGTTCTTAACACAGAATTTGCTGCATAAATAAGGTCTATGATCCAAATTCCAAATTATTTCCTCAGATGCACTACGTTTGCATCGTAATATTACTACAACCTGGAGACATATGCACATAACCAATGAGTCATTGGCCTAGTGGTACCCAGGTCACTGGTAGATCCCAGCCTTCTAGAAGGTCAAGGGTTCAAACCTCATCAAACGTAAGAAACACCACAAACACATAAAGCAATGGCCCGGTTTAGTTATACTTACATCACAAACACAAAAATTCCAGACAGGAAAGCAAAACTTCATATTCACATAACACATACAAAATGTCAGCAGCAAATGTTCCAAACTTGGACATACCCTTGCAAATGTTCAAGTGGGTTCTCAAAAAGGGTAATTATCACCGGGATAGCATGACTGGATGTGATTAAGGACTTCAAACCCCAAAGGTATTCAATCTGTTGTGGTATATCTTTAGATGTTGGCTCAATTGGCATCGTAAGAAACACCAAAACCTTCACTGCATAGTTTGGGCAAAAAATAACTGATCATTAAAGTGAACTACAAGTTTTTCTTACAGGTCACAAAATAAATTCTCTCTGTTCCAAGAAGTCCATATTTGAAATTTAAATGACTTAAGAGATTAGAGAGATTGATTTTGCTGGAAATAATATAGGTATGATAGCCTTTAGAAGCTAAAACAATCAAGAAACGCACTCCTTTCATTCCACAAGAATGCATCATTTTCCGTTTTAGGTTTCTTCAAAAATACGATGTTTCCTTTTCTTAGTAAAATTCCAACACAAAATTTGCATATATCAATTGATATAGATGACATTGATTGTGTTAGCACGATCTATCAATTTTGTGTTATTATATGGCATTTTAGGTATTTTATGTGCCAAGTCATTTTTTAACAGAGAGAATACACGTCAATTTTGTATTTGATATGAATTTTGAATCTCTGATCAAATTTGGGACCTCTTTTGAAACAAAACTAAGAATCAACACTTAGATAAGTAATTACCGGCATTTAGCACCAAGGTAGTATCACTTTGACAGTGTTGGATTAGGGGTAATATGTCTTTTCCCACTATATTCCATTTACAAACTTGTTTGAACACTTCCCGAGTCTCTGGATCGTCTCTCCTTAAAAATCTCAGCAAATCCTTCAAATTATCTGTCCATCAATATATTACCCGATAAATTATCAAACTAAGAAGATCATTTTGTATGCACATGAACTTATAAATGTAAAATTGGAATTTATCGAGTGGCTGCACTGAATAAAGTACCTAAACAGTATTCTCCTGTACTGTACCCGATCTGATTGCCATCGTCATCCTCTTCAATAATACCAAGACCACCGCATACCAAAGATAAATTTTCCATAAAGTTGGAGTTTTAGCTTTTCTAGAAGAATCGATAGAATTATTCAGAAACGATACCAAGCAATGATAAATGAAGAGCGGTGATAGATTTTCAGATGATTGAAACCAAAAGAGAGTGAATTAAGATCCGATTTACATTAGTTAGGGTTTGAGCCTTTCGCGCCCATTTCACTTTTTCCCGCGCTTTGAAAAGGCTTGGTGAACGACGGATTTGAGCGTGCAAAGTACGACGTGGCACGGTATGCTTTTTAAGGGATGTCTAGGATTGTTTATGCTAATTGTGATGTGATATCGATTATAAATAGTTTTTAGTATTTGAATAGTAAAAATATAGCTTATATTGATGTTATGTTGGTAATAAAAAGTTTTTGATAAGTTGTTCTCCTTTAACTTATCAGATTCAACTTATTAGGTTTGAAAACCAAACAACCTTTTTAACCTTCTTTCTAACCCTCATTACGATAGCAACAAATCTTCCTTCAATCGTTTAAAACGATTCCTCCCTTCTCCATGGTTCTACACAAAATTTTCCAAAATCAAAACCTTGAAAACGAAAATCTACAGTAATCAATTCAGGTTCACTTACCAGAGACTGATCTTTTTGATTCTCGATAAAAGTATTGATCTGATTCCTAAGATTGCTTCAGAAAAGCTTAACGGAAATGGGACTGATAATTGGAGACGAACACGAACTCATCATGCTATGCGACTCCTGTAAATTGGAAAACAAATTTTAGGCATTTCTATGAAGAAAATGAATTGGAATTCTATTTAAACATACTTTAATGAGGGGATTTCGAGATTCGGATTCCATGGAAGCTGCTGTCATTGGAGGATTAAGAAAAAACGGCTAAGTTTGAAGAGCGTTTAAGGGGGTGTCTGGAATAATGTTCTTTTTAGTCATTTTACATGTATAAGTAAAAGTTGTCAAACACTAAAAAACAACTTATTACGTTTTGATACCGTAATAAACTAATACAAACACTTTTGATAAAACTCCAATTTGACAACACATAGGTTAATAAGTACTTTTTCAAAAAAAGCATAAGTTGTTTTAAATAAGCAAATCCTAAACACCCCCTTAGTGTAGGCATGAAAATGAGAACCGTCTCAATGGGTATAGAAAACCGTCAACTAGTGGATTCTAACCCAATCCGTTAACAATCTAATTAAATCCAACCTGTTAAACCGTCAATTAAAAATGTTGAAATTGGGTTAGGTCTAGTTCAAACCGCCCAACCCGTCACTAATATATATTATTTTATAAAATTTTATTTTTATATATATAAGAATAAAAAAATTACTAGTCTATTTAGACAAATTTACAACCCAAACACACACACACACACACATATATATATATATATATATTAATACATCTTTTACTTATTGTTTATAACTTTTTACGGCCCAAAAATATATATTATACCATTTTGAACATTACAGCCTAAACATTTGTTATATTTTACATTGTCGATTTGTTGAAATATTATATATATTCTCCCGATGTGTTATAGTTTCTTGTATATTTGTATGTTTTCTGCCCATTTGTTATAGTTTCTTATAACTTTATGAATGGAAAATACTCATAAGTCTCTGGAAATCAAAGCCAATGATAAACCAAACACGTCTAAGAAAATAGGAGATAGGACCTCAAACATTTGGGATCATTTTTTTAAAAAGGAGTCTAGATGTGTTTCTTATTATTCTGGAAAAGACTTTGCATATCATATAAGATCACAGTACTCTCAATATGTGAATATGTTAGGACTGAAAATCAGTATTAAATTGTATTCGTCTTGAAAGTTAAATATTGTCTATAATTGTAAAAGTCATCGTGTTTGACTTTTCTTAGACAAGTTTGACTTTGACTTTTGTTTAGATGTTTGACCCTATAAATAGGGTAATATCTTTGTAATTAGAGAGAAAGAGAGAGCTTATTGTAATATTGTGATTACGTAATAAGAGGTTTGACTGATATTTGAATGTTTGACTTTTCCTCTCAACTATCATCTTAGTGTTCTTGATGTTCTTACAAGTTTTATCTAGATCTGCCATGTTATGAAGCTTAATATGAAGATTGATCAGTAAATAAGGACACACAGAATAGATGCGGGAATATTAGAGTGGAGGAAAATGATACATCCTTTGGGTTGTGAAGATTTCATGAGCAACTATGAATACCCAAGAACAAGTTGTAGCCATCATCATCATCTTCATTAATATATGGTAAAAGCTTTGGTTACAATACATATCTTCAAAAGGTAATTATACACAAGTGTGCATACAATAAGTTAGCAAAAGCTTACATGAAAGGTTATTAAGAGAATGCAGTTAAGCGGCTATTTATAACCCACTAGAGGATAAAATCAAGGCATTGATGAATCATAGCCTTCGATGTGTAAAAGTGAAATAACTGTCTCTAGGTGGCATGTGCAATTAAGAGCCTCCATGTGACAGTTTGTTCGGCATGAGCTGACTAGACAAAAGCTGATGTCATAAGCATTCCATCAGTAATTGAAGACAAGAAGGGGTTTTAGAGAGCGGTTGTCACTGGACCAAAGGGACTCTTCATCAGTTACGGTCATCATCAGGTTTGGTATCTTTGGTTCTTTATGGGCTATCTCTGGTTTGTCTTTATAGGGTCTCTAGTCTTTAGCACTTAACCATTTTACAATACTTTTACAAATAAGAATTCTAGGTTTTAACAATATCCCCCTAAGTATTGGAAAATGCATGAAGCAAAAACTTGAATAAAAGAACCAAGAGAATGTGAAGTATCCTCTGTGCCAAAAGGTTTCATTAGATTGATAGAAGGTTACAGTATTTGAAAAGAAAAAAACTACATCTCAATTTGGATCACTATTATAGGTCCTCCAGCATCATTAATTTTCAGTAGTTGAGCATTGTAGAGATACCATGGATGAGTTGGTTTCCTTCTTCTCGTGGCACGTGACGTTTACCTAATCTCTCATTGACTACCTTATGAAACCAAGTAAGTGCGTCAGTTGAGTACTTGGATGCTTCAGTCAACCCGAAGAACTTCTTTTGTTGGAACTCATTTTTGTAAACAAGTCACAGTTCTGGTTAAGATAGTACAGAGGCAGACCTAAAGTTTTCCAGTTCTTCAAATGTCTACTTCGAAGTAGTGCAGGACAGTCTCTCAATACCCAATTCTAAGGCAATTTGGAAGTCATTATTTGCCTTGAATTCAATGTCCTCATTACCTCCACCGTTGATCTTCTTGCAACTATAAACTGAATGCCTTGATCTACTCTTTGACTTGCATGGGCGCATAAATAGATTAAATCACGTAGGTTCATGTTTATGAGATCCTCCCGTGTGCCCTCTCAACGGTGTACTCAATATACCTTATTACTCAGTTTGCATATGACTTTAGTTTTATATCTATAACTGTTCTAATTCCTTCCTCGTAGAACACTTCATGAGGAGGTTGGGTATGTTGTCTCAAGAACCTCTGTCTGATGAGATCCATGGCCTATGGAGTAAGGTTTAAAGGGTTCATGAGTACCTACTTATCTTGATCATTGTAGAGATGCTTCTGGATGTTTTTTTTAGCAGTTATGGATCTCTTGGAGGTAGCTCAGGACTCCGTCTTAGAGACTCCATACGAGCGATAACTTCTTGGACTCGATCAATGGAGGGTGGTTGTCTAGAGGTTGAAGGAATATAAGAGATTTTGTTGATCCTCTCTCTCATTGATTTGATGATAATCCCTTTTACCTTACTCGAAGTATTTATGTTTCTGTTTTTAGTTCCAACGATCGTCACTGAGTCTGTTCAGTGATCGCTGAAGAACTTGTAATGTAAATCCAATCAGCGACAGCGATACTTCAAGAAGCAAAACTCACACCAAAGAACCTTCAACGAAAGTCGAAGATTGAAACTGAAGATTAGAGACTGGCGAGTACGTGATCTGAAGCGGTATTCAGTGATTACAACCTTGTTTACATATGTGTGAAGACTGCCCAAGCCTCAGCAAATGCTGAAGAGACCTTCAGGTTATTCCAGCATTAAACAATCAAAAAAAGCTTGTTGAGCACGATTGTTTTTGTCTTGTCCTTACATACGCAAAGGACAAACCCATACCCTTTTCTAAAAGTTAGTATGGTACGGAGCCGATTAGTTGACTCTATTACCCACCAACTTTGTGAAAGGATGTCTGCTCATGAATAGGCTCTTGTAGTATTCACTATAGCAAAGAACAAGCCTTCCTCTTAAGGCTTGACACGCGTTCTAACCCTACCATGTTGCATTAAATGTGCATTTAATGCAATGGGTATAAATAGATGTGTTCTATCTCCATGCAGATATACTCTTACTCCTCACTCTGAACTTACTTACGCATAAGTAAAAGAACACACACATCTAAGAACAAATACGCTCATCTTCAAGAGCAAGTTAGAATCTCTTTGTTGTATTCTAAATACTTCTTTCCCAGATATAACTTACTTTCTTCTAAGTCTTTAACAACAAATCTTTTCTTTATTTGCTAAGAATTAGTGTGTAACTTTAGATTGTTTAGATAGGTTTTATCTACCTTATCTTTCCGCAAACAATCTTATAAAATCTGTATTAATACTTCTTTATCAATATATATTTTAAATTTGAAATTTTTTTTGTGTTTGTATTCATCCCCCCCCCCCCTTCTATAAAATGTTGTACACATCTTGTAGACCCTAACGGGACCAACAAGTGGTATCAGAAAAGTGTTTTATCTTCTCTAGTTGTTTAGTTGTTTTCTGCAGTATATTATCTTCTTATTTAGATAATTTCATTGCTTTTAAAATGGCTTTACAAAACATAAACACACACTTTCAAAACAATGTCTCTCTTGCCACCTCCCCGATTCATCCGAGACAACTTTAGTCTCTAGAAGAATTGGATGTCCTTCTTTCTAGAAGGTGTGGATTCTGAAATTCCACACTACATAGAAAATAGACCATATGTACCATTTGCTATTTCTCCGATTGTTCCTGAAACAACTACGACTGCCGCGATTCCTGAACGTCAGATTCCAAAGCTCCGTCACCAATGGAGCGATGAAGACAAGAAGAAAATAACTATAAACACTTGTACTGGGTCTATAATAGCTATGTATCTTTCTGATGAGGTTTATCACTCTGTGATGAAACTCAAAACCTCTAAATCCATGTGGGACACTTTATGTGTTCAATATGAAAGAACCTCTCAGGTTC